TCCAGTGTGAACAGTCTATGGCCCTGAAGTGACCCGCATAGGCAGAAGAAGACGTGGTGTCACAAGCAGCACGCCGTGTTTACGGACGTAAATATGGATGCTACACATGTCAGCGTGTGTGTATCAATTTTGAAGTTGTTGTGCAATCGGAGCTGACAAAATTACGATGATGATTATGATATTGCTGTGTCCCGTCTCCTTCGGCACCTAATTGCGACGTCTGTCTCACTTAAATGATATAAAAGTTGGATGAAATGCGACATGACCGTTCAGATTGCGGTCGCTTCGAAAAACATCAGATATGTATCCGATTCAGGACCACATATGGAAGTGGTCTAACTCTGATTTGAAAAAATCAGATCTGGGTTAGATTTTAGTGTTCACCTGGTCACTTGACCCCCCCAAAAGAAATCAGATTTGGGCCACTTTTGCCTGCAGTCTGAACGTGGTCTTAGTTGAATTTCAAATTAATATTGATGTGTATGCTTTTGGTTTTTCTGGTATTTAGTTAAATAAATATAAAGATATAACAGGTTCCCAAACTAAGGGCCGTTTGACTCTACTTTTCAGAAACAAACAACTTGCTTTATTGACTAATAATTATTCATGGGACATACAAAGGTTTTGAAGTGTCTGACCTTTCAGAAACTGTATGTCATTTTCAATTTTAATTTTAATGACTGAAGTATAAATGACTTGATTGATCGAAAAGGGTGATAGTGCTAGTGTCAGTCATCAACATTTTTCATGTGCAGCTTGAGCCAAGAACAGTTCTATTTTAATAGAAACTGCATTAGTCATTTTAGGTTGAGAGACTCCCATCTGTTTTACAAAATTATCCTTGCTAATTAGTCTGAAAATAAGAGTGGTCAGATCAGTCAATAACTGATAAGAGGGGGACAAACAGCCACACAGCTCTAACAGCTTCTCAGATGCAATCCAAATGCACCAGCCCAATCAAAATGCAGTCAATTATTATAAAGAGGTCTGCATAACACGAAATTATTATTCTGAATATCACCATGGAAACATGATGCACAGACTAAAAAAACAGATTTGTATACACCTCAGTACCCAGAATAATGTCAGTCTATTCCAGGCGTCAGCTGTCCTTTGAATCCTATATCTGGGTTACTGCAGAAACATGTTGGCAATGTAACCATTATTAAAATGACTTAACTTTGGTAAGAGTGGATGGAAACATACATTCCTATCATACAAACATTACCATCATTTAAAGTGTACCTATTATGCTCATTTTCATTCTTAGTCTGACACTCCACTAAAGTAGCATTGCATGATTCAGCCTTTGAAAACATACTTATTTATCTTACACTAGCACCTCATCCTCTGTCTGAAACAAGCAATCTCTCTAAGCATACTTTCTTCTAATTGGCCAACTTTGCAATGTCTTGCCTAGGGGCTGCACCCAGTACTTGTGAACACCGTTTTGCTCTCAAAGGCATGACAGCTAGAGTACCGTAGCTTGGACAATAAGAGATATGGGGCACTGGATTTGTGAATTTACTGTTTCTAGGGACTGGGCCTTATTGATTATGGTACAAAAGCACACATGTTTTATAACTTTATTCACTGATTTTGGTGAAACTGGATCATATTTTATGGAGAAAATATGTTCTGGTTTTCTCTCTGATGTCCTCCAGCTGCTCTGCCTCCACCTTTTTGTTTTCTGACATATTGCTTTACTGTTGTTGCTTTATTGTTGTTAGCAGTTAGCTACTTTAACCGCTAATTGTAGCTTCTGTAAAGTCAAGGCTGATGATGGAAACCTTCAGAGCAGTCTGAATTCTTGTCTTTTTCCTCACAGGGATTAATTTTACATACGTTTGACATTGCAACATTGTATACTGTATATGACAGAAACTAAGGAAAAGCACTATAGGAACCCTTTAAGATGAAAGGCTGAAATTTTGATCTCTTAAGAAGAAAAAGTACCATCATAGGGGGCAGAATATTTCCTTTAGTGCTATTTGGGACACACACCGTACCCTATGTATATGATACTACAAGTAGAGAAAAATTAGGTTGTACTTGTACTTGTAGGGGCCTCATTTGTACAGGAATGCAAAGTCGGTCTCACAGGTTCAAAGAAATTTTTTTTCATGTAATTGACTAAACAAACACTGTGGACATGGACATTGCTGACCTACAAAGTTAACCTTGTTTCTTTTGTAATTTTGGAGGAGCTGTAGCATTTGGTGTTCTGATTCCTGAAGCTGCCCAGGGGACTGCAGACTCAGACACCAAAGAAACTCTGTGGCTCTTAATGAGACTACACAAATGAGCGACAGCACAAGAGATATGCTTTGGAAAATAAGAATTTCGAAAAGCAGCCAATGATTTCTGGTGTGTCAGACAAGTCAGCTGTTAATGTCAACAGAAAGCAATTACTGTGTATCATCACTACAGTCCATGTATGTATCAATAACAAATCTTTTGATTATAATCTGTTCATCAGCACTGGAAACAAAGCAGTTAATAAACTGCAGTTTAAAATAAGTAATTTTTTCTTAAAAATATTTTTTTCTTCCATGGTAATTCCAGTTCCAGTTTCAACAAGAATGTGTTTCTGGAAAAACATTGTAAATTTAATACACAATTCCAGCAGTACAGGTTGTGATGAGAACCTAGTCAGTTTTATAAAGTTGCTGCATGCTAGCGCTTGTGGTAAGTCTAAGAGTTAACAGCCTTTTATATACACACACCACCTGATGGCAAGCTACAATCAGTGACAGCATCAACAAATCACTGCAGCTTTGTAATGAGTGCATGAGTGTTTCTGTAAGGATTAAACTTCATGAATAATGTGCAAATTCCTTATTTCTTTGTTGCAACTTTAACAGAAGATTGTGAAGTGAGGCTCAAGAGAAGGAGATTTCATCATGTATTAGCCATTTAGTCAGACTCATTTGTACAAATACATCTTCATTTATTTCACGTACATTTTTTTTTACTTTTACTTTGAAGTTTTCACAATCTAAATGATTCAACAACAAAATGAGGAACTACCACAACAAAGTCCAAATTTCCTACTGGGGAAAATTAAGCAAATGTCACTGTAGTAAAATTGACACATGTATTTTGCCAACCAGCAAAGGTACAGTTAAAGTAATAAAAAGACACAAAAATAGGACAAAAAGGTGGTTCATGTAGGTACTTTGACCAGGGTCATCTTTATGATGATCCAAGTGTTATGATAGATCCTGAACAGTGTTTAAGGACTGATTTTTGTAAAATGCTCAACATGTTTCATAAATAAAACATTTTTTTCTTCATTTTTATTGATAAATAATATATATTAAATCATATCTGGGAGTCAATTTGGGGAGCAGGTACAGATAATCACCCATAGGAGCCCTTCCTGAATCCATGGAAACTTCAAAAGTCTGAAGAATATTCTTGCTGAACATATGGGGGTATATCAATTTTGGCTAATGCATCCCATGAATATTGCTATGAATAGTTCTTTTGAATTAATGTGCACATACATGTACATAATGAAGCATTAGGTACACATATGCAAATTATTGAACATAGGAAATGATGGTCTGTCTCATTGATTTCTTCAGTGAATAAGCATGGCGCAAGACTAAACAAAGTAGGTTAATAGCTTAGATACAAATTTGTACTGTACATGGTTCAGCTGAGTCTGTAGATCCAACCCAAAACTACAATGTTCCATTTGGGCATATAAATTTCAAAAAGCTGATAGATGACACCTATTCCCGTCAGGTCCCCAACAACAGTTAGGGTTGGGGTTAGCAACAGTTTTCACTCCTCATCCACATTGAAGAAGTTGCCCGCTGGCAATTATGTAAGAGAATGTCCTACTACGATTTTTAGTATTTCAAACATAGTATCCAAGCATTATGTCAAGTTCCAGTGATTTAAAGTACTGCTCATCTTGTTATGATGCTCCAAACATTTTCACTACCATTCTCCCTGCTGCAGTGGGAAGTTCAGTAGTCCGGTTTTTCAAAAAAATACATTGTACTTTGGGCATTTTTACAATCCAGAATCTTGGATCTATTAAAGAAGTCACATCATTTTCATGTTAAAACGACGAGGACCAGCTTGTCCCTCTGCCGAGTCAACGTTAGTGCCGTTAGACTTTGACCGAGGCACATATTCAACATCTATGTTGTTTTTATGTTTTCCTTTTCCTCTGCTCCAAACGAAAAGGAGCAGGAAACAAAACAAGACCACTCCCAGGAACGTAAAACAACCCATAGCTGTTGACACTAAAATAGTCTTTAGGTCTAAGCCGAGGGTCACACCGGCCGTTCCATTGGCAGTGGTATTGCTGGGATCTGTGTAGTACTGGGTCCTGTTGGCGTACAGCGATCCCAAACTTTTCACCGCCAGTGAAGTCATCAGGGTGTCATTCCCAGCAGTGTTGGAGGCAAGGCAAAGGTACACTCCGCTGTCTTGTACCTCCGCTGACTTGATCTCCAGTGTACCATTAATGTGGACGGTTACTCTACCGTGGCTCCTACTTGTCAAAACTCGTCGGCGTGGGGACAACCAGGACACAACAGGCCTTGGAGTCCCCTCAGCACTGCAGCGCAGCATTGCCTGCTGGCCCTCATCCACAGTGATCGTTTGTGTTTTATTCTCCCGAATTTTTGGCTTGGTACATGTCACATAATAAGACAGGAGAGTCTCTTTAAATTCCTTAAAAGGCCTTCCACGAATACCTTCAGGTGTGCTGCATTCTGGTTGTGAATCCCCGAAGAAGATGGAATGCCTTTTCTGTAGGATCCACATGAGACGACAGTCGCACACCAGGGGGTTGTTGTCAATAAGAAGAACCTCCAGAGCCTCAGGAGACTGAAAAACACCCTTTTCCAGTGTATCCAGTCGGTTGTGAGAGACATTGAGGACTTTGAGCCCCCGCAGGCCCTGAAAGGCATACGGTTCAATGGTGGTTAGCTGAGATCCAACGAGATGGAGCTCTTTAAGCCGAACCAGTTCCATCATCATCCCCCCTTCAATGTGCCTGATGCGGTTGTAGGACAAGTTGAGGTGTGTCAGGTAGGGCAGATGCTTTAGGGCTTGATAAGGGAAGGAGGACAAGTTGGTGTTGGTTATGAACAGAGTGGTCAGGTTGAGGCCATGCAGGGTATTGGCTGGCACATGGTCTAGTGAAGGCCAATTATCAATTTCTAAATGCCGCAGCCGGAACAGCTTTTTGAAGGAGTAAGGATGCAAAGTGCTGATGCTGAGGTATCGTAGATGGAGGCTGACCAGGTTATGCAGGTGGGAAAGGGCCTCAGTGGGTACAACTGTAAGGTTGCACCTTTCTAAGGTTAGAATCTCCAGGCTTAAAAGTCCACTAAATGCACGGTGAGAAATGTAAACCAGATCATTGTCACCCACTTCCAAAAATTTAAGATTGTGCAGGTCCTGGAACATGTAATCCAGGAGGATGACGATCTTGTTGTCACTTATATCCAGTCGGGTAAGATTTGTTAGGCCTGTGAAGACGCCCAGAGGAATGAGTTTGATACGATTGCTCTTGAGACTGAGTGAATGCATGTTAAACAGGGCGTTGAAAGCTCCAGGCTCAACATAACTGATAATATTTCCACTGAGGTCAAGTTCCTCAAGTCCAGGAAAGGCAATAAAGTCATCAGGGTTGATCATTGTGAGCTTGTTCTTACTCAGGTCCAGGATCCTGGTCTCAGTTGGGACGCCATCTGGGATGCTGGGCATGCGCTTGCGGTGACAGACAACTGCCTTGCTCTGCGCTGAACACTCGCAGCGCGAGGGACATCCCAGGGTAGAACCCACAAAGACAGCCACAAGGGCCAGTCCCAGGAATGGTTGCCAGCATGAGACAACCGTGTGCAGCATGACTTTGCTCATACAGTCGACCATTCTGTCACGGTTCTGCAAGACAGAGAGGGAGAGAACAAAGAGAGAAGGAAAGATATTAGTTAGTCACTCTGTCACACTGTGTTCCTGTAGAATTAATTAATATTAAAAATATAATAAAGCACTGAGTCTGAAAAATAGCCTCAGATGCCTTTACTTGTATTGCATAGTATGACAACAGATTGGATGGAGCTCGCTGCACAAAAATGTCTCATTCACACCGTTCTGTTTTCATCTAGTTACTTATTGAAATACAAGCAAGTTGAACTGCTGGGCTCCAAATATTTTGAATTTTAGAACTTTTCAGAGTTTTGATTTTTCTAAGCCAAAAAAACAGATATATATGCAGTTCATGGATAAGTGTGACAAAACAAGGAAAAAATGTTGGAGGGCATCATTCAGTGTTGGGAGAATATTATTGTGATTACCACAAAGGTCTCAAAAGCCAATAAACAAAGGTTTCACATTTAATATTTTTCTTAAATTTAGAAATTAATTCAAACAGTATGCAAACAAATGCTGGATGTATTAAATCAGTTATTCTGGGAACCATCTCCACTCAAATAAACCACTGTCATGCCAGTGTTTTACACTTCATTCATTTCAACATCCACTTGATAAAAATTTGTCTGTGTTTCTGTGTGCAGTACACAGACACAGTGTGAACCATAAACTTGATCAACCAGTATGTTTAAGCAGAGGTTAGAAATCACCATTATACAGTGGAAAAGAACATTCTTATTTCTACTTTCTACACTTGTTGTCAAAAACATTGTAATTGTCCCACTTCATTGTAGGTGATCCTTTTAGATGTGTACATATTACAATTAAATAAATATCTGTTTTTTTTTGTACATTGGACTTAAACAAGTAACAAATTAAAGTAAAAAAGAATGAATAAATGTAGTAGCATGACAAATGCAGATGTTTTCATACAGGACACGTGGGGTCATTAAATGGTTTGATTAGAATGAAAATTATATGACTCAATTGAACACCTATGGGAGAATGGAGAGGGTTTCAGAGACTAGGATGTTTGTGTTGATTTTCCTTTAAATTGTCACCCATCTGTATGTTTTCATGCTGCCTCTGCTAAAAACACACAACCTGAACCTCCATGAATCTATTTGTTATGCTGGTTTTTCATATATATCACATAAGCACATGAAGATGAGCAGATATGACCCAAATGCACTGCTTGCCACAAACAGACTGGGTGATATGTTGCAAAGACCGCAAACCATCCCTGCCTTATTCAGTGTGTCATGGGCTGTGCTAAATTTAAACCATGAGAGGAATAATCAGAATTTATCCCCAGCCTTAATATGCCAACAGATTATGGTGCAAAGATACATTATCTTGGAGCATCAATCTAAAGAAAAACATTATGAAAACCTAAGAAATCAATTCAAATAAGAATAAGGAAAATCTGAAGCAAAAAGTGCCAAGGACCAAGCCCTGTGCCTACGTGTCAGCTCCAAGTGACAGTTAAAAAACATTGATGTGTCCCTTTTTTGTGTCTTTACTTTCCCTTGCCTCCAGTTCACTATAAAGCTTTATTGCTACAGCTAGTGGGCACCATATGGCTAGCTCTGCATTGCTGCTGACTTGAGAAACATCACCAAATGTGTCCTGGCCTGTTTAAGTGTTCAACAGCTTTCTAATAGTTTATTTGAAATGTAAAGCTAAACGCCCTTGCATTAAAATCAGTACCTTCATGCTAACATGCTAATTGCCTGAGCCGGTCTTCACAAAACTCCTCTGTTATTGCATTTGTTTTGTTCTGTTTTAATATATTCCTGCATTACATTTTGAAAGGCTAGATCAATAGTTTTTAACATAAAATATCAAAAACTGTAAAGTACCAAATCTGGAAACTTCTTTTTAGTCTCATAAGACAATAGTGATAGTAAAGAGGTCAGTAAAATACTTTGATTAACACAGTGTTCCATCACATGTACACATGGCTAACATGATTGTCACATACAGACACACATACATGCACATACATCTCTATACAGGAGATTGTCATAGTGTCCTTGTGTTTCTGTAGATTCTTCCCACTTAATAACCACCTTATGCACACACACACTGGCCACATGAATTGCAGCACCATATGATTCGATGATTTACCAAGAGGGTGTCTAATCAGTATAATGATTGGATGTCTTTGTAACAGTGTGTAATCAGAGTAAGAGTGAGCCTGTGATGTGACCCTCTCACCTGGGCGCTGCTCAATAAGAGAACCATAATGCAAGTGCATCATCAGCAGCACCTGCTGAAGTGTGTCCTGTGCACAGAATTAGGCAGAGGCCCTGGGGCAACATCCGCAAATAAAATCCTAACTATCTGCTCACTGACTGATTGTTTTCTGCTTGTGCCCTCCAAAAGGAAAGACATAATACAGGATGGTATTGGAGCTATAATATTCAGTAATTATAGGAATTTTGTTTAATTTTACCTTTGTTTTTTTGACCTTGAAGTAAACATTATTTTAGCAGTGTAACTTGCATTTTTGTAAACATTTTTGATTAATATGGATAATTGGCACAGTGTAGACAAGGTGACTTTAGAGTAAGAGTATGGTAGCAGGAAGAATATATTCTACTACCTAAAAAAGCAGCGGTAGCCTTTTTCTTCTGATAGTTTTTCAGAATTAATGACCACCGGATTTTTTTTTAAATTCAGCATTTGGATGTTCACCAATCACATAGTTGAAGCAAGGACAACCAGTATCTCTACAAAAAATGATCCCAGTAGACCACAATACTGTATATTGCAGCCACAAAATAAACTGAAAAGTCTCTCAAAGAACTCAGTTAATAAATTTACAGTCAATTCCAAGAATTCATGAACTTTGTCAGAAATAGCTCCTGGAATACAATGAATAAAAAAAGATCGACCTGAGGACAAACTTATTTTTTTTGCCATTTTCCCAAACATTTCCATTTTATCTCAATATTCTGGAAACTTTCAGTGACATTCAGTAACAGTCCTGTGATGGCAGAAATCCTGCAGTGCACTATGAGATAAGACTGCACAGTAAAGGTGTTTCTATAATGTGGCCCCTGACCCACATTAGTGCAGGGTTGGATCCTGAGAGGGGGAGGATAACAGCTAATGGTGTCTGACTCAGCATAAATGAGTGAACAGCCATTTCGCAGCGGTGCTGAGGTCGCCTGCGCAATGCCATCATCCCAAGCATATGTATACAAGTGGCCAAATGTGAATCTCAAACTTACACAACACTACAGATGATTAAATCATGAATTGCTCCCCCACTATGATAAATATGAGAACATATTTGTCTTGGCTTATTTCTAATACGCATACACTTTTTCTATTCCCATCACAAAATAATCTCCATATGAATCGCAGAAAGCATGCAGGGCTCTTCCATCCCATGATGCTGCTCTTTATTTTTCAACACAGCCCAGGGCTAACTAGTAAGAAGATGAGTAGAGATGACGTCTGTCTTTACCAGAGTAGCAAAACACGTCTTCCTCAAGTCTCTGAAAAGCTTTTCTTGCTAAAAAAAAGAAAAAAAGGGAAAAAAGACGTATTACATCATCCTGAATCCCTCTCTTTTAGCTAATATAACTGCATGTAGTGTGAATATGTTACATCCTTTTTCTGACTAATGGAGCTTTGACCTCTGCACTCTTGACTTAGTATCCAGGTGAGTGAACAAGAGGATTTATCAGACAGATCCTGAGGTGAGTGTGGAGCTACTGTATACAGGAGATTGCAATCGCTCCCTAGGCAACTGATATCTTCCCCGGATGATCACTGAATTTTCTTTCCCCGTATCTCTTTCACACAACCTCACTATGACTCTCATTTTGCCCACACTTTTTAACTTCCTGTGTGTACCTTCCATAATTGATATGTACTATTTTGTGTAACACATTGCTTAGAAAATAATTCATTATTATTGCTTATCGTTGCTTTATGTGGATGTATTGAGCTTCACTGTGTGTGGAATGATGTATGAGTTTAACACTAAAAGGTTTTCACATTTATTTGCTAAAAGTGGAAAAGAAGATGTAATTTTAAGAACTTTTTAATGAAAAAAAAACACTCTAAGACACAAACTATTGTTCACAGTAGAGTATTGATATGTGTTTAAATTAAGTTACGGTTTAGTGGGATAATTGTGTTGGTAATTTTGACAACTTTTAGACATTTTGTGTAATAATTTTGTGACAATGGAGTCTATAAATAATGACCGTATATGAAGTCCTGGCATGTGAAACTTGTTTAATATACAGTGTGAGGTCATTTAAAAGGAAGGCCCGACGCTTACTATTCATTGATTCTCTTTCATGGGAAACATCAGCTCTCAAGTCTGAGTTCATGTTCTGCGGCATCCTTTTGCTTGGTTACATTTGAACAGTATTCATGTGTTCGAAACAGCAGAATAACAGCAATACATGAATATATATGTAAATATATGAATTACAGCACATAAAGAATACAGCCGTGATGTTAAGCGTATAACCTTCTCTGAGTTACAGTAGCCAGAAGCTCCACAGAAACATGGCAGTTGATTTTGTTTTAATTGGAGCAAATTAAATCAAGCAATCATGGGTCAGTTTGCTCATCAGTGTGTGTCCCCCTGATGGGCAGAGTGGACACCCACTATCCATGTTTGATTTATAAATTATTTACCAACTAATTAGCCCAACGACTCCAATATGGAGTGAATATAATTATGCAAAATTATAAATTAAATCACTCAATGGTAAACCTCCGAGGTCGGCTTGTTAGACTGCAACATGATCTTGGCAAGTTTAAGGTCTGACTTAATATAATCTGATGCAAACATATTGAGTGCATCTTGAAAAACCAGTTAAACTGTTTATAACTCAGCTGTAGTCTTTAAATACTTGTTAGAAATCATGTGTTTTGAATATTTGAATGTAGGGGCGTGAAACCTGCTCATCCGCTAAAAGATTGCACAAGCCGTCAGTTCAAGTGAAATACGAAAATCAAAGTCGGCATAATGCATTTTT